CGCGCTTCGTGAGTGGGGCGGGGCCTGCGGGGCGGGGCCTGGGTCCGTGGGGCACACTGGTGGGGTGGGGCCATGGGTGGGGCCTGGGGGAGGAGCATATGGGCCTTTGGGTGGGACCTGTGGGACAGCACCTGTGGGGCACGTCCATGGGGCAGAGTCTATGGGGTGGGGCTGGCATCTGTAGGACACATCAGTGGGGTGGGGTCTGTGGGGTGGGTCCTGATGGAGGAGTCTACAGGGCCTTGGGGGAGATCTGTGGGGCAGAACCCATGGGGTGAAGCCTGTGGGGGGGGGCTGATGTCAGTGGAGCACATCTATGGGGTGGAGTCTATGGGGTGGGGCTGGCATCTGTAGGACACATCAGTGGGGCGGGGCCTGCGGAGTGGGGCCTGAGTCCGTGGGGCACACTGGTGGGGTGGGGCCATGGGTGGGGCCTGGGGGAGGAGTCTATGGGCCTTTGGGTGGGACCTGTGGGACAACACCTGTGGGGCATGTCCATGGGGCGGAGTCTATGGGGTGGGGCTGGCATCTGTAGGACACATCAGTGGGGCGGCGCCTGCGGAGTGGGGCCTGGGTCCATGGGGCACACTGGTGGGGTGGGGCCATGAGTGGATTCCATGGGGCAGGGTCTATGGGGTAGGGCCCATTGGGTGGGGCCTGTGGGACAGGTCCTATGGGGGGGAGTCTGTGGGGTGGGGCACATCGATGGGGTGGAGTCTGTGGGGTTGGGCCTATAGGGTAGCGTCCATTGGGTGGGGTCTCTGGGGTCTGGTCCATGGAGCAGGGTCTATGGCCCCCCACAACCCTCCCCCACCCCCTTTCCAGGGGAAATTCATCCGGATCCACTTCGGGGCCACCGGGAAGTTGGCGTCGGCCGACATCGAGACCTGTGAGTGGCCACAGGGTGGTGGGAGCAGGGGGTGGCCATGGTCCGGCCTCTGGTCCTGTGTCCAGAGCCCTTCTTGTCCCTCTGTCCGGCCCCTGGTCCTGTGTCCAGAGCCCTTCTCATCCCTCTGTCCAGCCTCTGGTCCTGTGTCCAGAGCCCTTCTCGTCCCTCTGTCCGGCCCCTGGCCATGTGTCCAGAGCCCTTCCCGTCCCTCTGTCCAACCTCTGGCCATGT